TGACGAATGAGCAGCTGAACGTCAGTCAAAGCATCAACAATACTGGCAATGTGCGTAACCCTCCTTCGCCTCCTTCTTTCCATCGTCTCTCGCTTCCAACTTCCACGTACTGACCTGCGTCGTTGTCATTCCGCAGATGTTCGAAAAGTTCTCGATCCTCGACATCGACATCGGCGGTCTCGGCGGCGAGTACACCGTGCAGGCCGGCTTTGGGTGGACGAACGGCGTCGTGCTTTGGGTCGCGAACAGCTTCGGCAGCAAGCTCGTCGCGCCGACGTGCCCTAATCCGCTGGTAGAGGCCATTATAACAGGCAGCGGCGCAAGCCCCAGCAACAGCAGCAACGGAAGCGGCGCGCTGCAGCTGTCTATTGGGCCCTACGCGCTCGTCGGACTTGCGCTGCTCCCAGGCCTACAACTGCTGGTCGTGTAATGGGTAGACGTTATAAGCTGCTACCGAATAAATCTGCGGTGGACAATGCCTTTACTCTTGTTCTCCCCTTTTTCGCACATAATCTTGCTGGTTTCCTATTTCCTAGTCTTGTCTATACGTTGTTGAGCATGAGTATATTTGCGAAATAAACACATGCTTTTGTCTTGCCGTACTGATCCGAAAGCCAGGTTCTGCTTACAGCTTATGCTACCTGGGTCACTGTAAGTCAGGTCAGTTACTTTCCCCGTCCAGGTAACATGATTTCAGGTGCTTTGAAAGGCGATGTGCGCTTGTGCAATCGTCATACGAACCTCTTCTTGCGTCATCAAGACGAGTCTTCATATGTCTAGTGCCAGCTAGCAAATCCCGGTGTAAGACGATGTCTAGATGTAGGGAACTGGACCTGGAACCGGCAGAGCTGCCTGGCCCTGGTAGGCCCGAACTAGGGCACCAGCGGTTTGGTCAGATTGTGGACCTGTTACCTGCGGGCCAGGGATGTCGGATCTTGGGAGAATCATGGACGCATGCTCAATTATACCAACGAGGGCGTTATCATTGACAGTGCCTTCTGAGTCTGAACCTCTTGAGCCCCCAACTTACTAATTTCTCATCCTACACTTACAAGTGCCTCGCTGTGGTTACGAAAAGGTGTGCTCGTACCGAAACTCACGCGTGGCGGTTCCGAACAAGAAAGCGCTCGACACCAAGCTCGCGAAGCTGCTGTGCAAGTGGTGTGAAGAGCAAGTCAAAGATATCTAGTAGGCTATCTTGCAAATTCCATGCTCCCCGTGGCCCTGAAATTTTGAGTCACGGTATGGTGTTTGCTATCTTTACTAGCCTTAATGCTTACTTCACCCATTCCAGTAGCCATTGTGGGTCTGTTGTTCTCTTTGCGACTACAGTACTCTTCTAGAAGAAGAATCAGCCGGAGCGTGAGAACGTATACATCATTGCGGTCTCATATTCTTTGCGGGTCACACCTGCTTACGTAGAAGTGTAGAAGGGGAAGGAACATGACGTGCGGCACATTTTACTGCTTGATATTCTAGTACTGGGTGTGCCGCAGCAAGAGGGACTAGGACGCGAGTGCGAACAGATGGAAGGCGGAAGCTGGCAGACCTTGATCGGATTTCACCGGGCGCCTCACCGATTAGACCAAGCGGAGGTCGCACTGGTCCCTCGGCTACTACTGTGCGCCGAGGCCGAGTGAAAGGCGAGGCTTTTGAACTCGTGCTCAAGGGGATAGGTGGCGGCATACGAGCAATGATGACGACACGGCCATCTGCTCAGCCGTGGCCAATATACCGGCGTCTTAGATAGTCGCCGGGATGTTAGCCGTTGGTCCAGTATTAGCGTTTGTGAGCACTGTAGTCCCTCGCTGCTATGAAGATGGACCTTCGAGAAGAAACGGCATTGCAGTGCTCAACAGAAGTCAGAACATTGTAGTTAAAACGCGATCTCTCTGAGTGGGCGTGTGAATCTACGCGTTCCTCAGGAGCCGTAATTGCGAACGATTGTCATTGGGCCGAGAAGGTCGAAAACGAAGCATGTCGTGGGACAAATAGGACGCGGCACAGAAACTCACCTTTCTTTGGCCAGGGGTGGCTTAACGTCTTAGGACTTGTCTCTGCGAAGCGCGATTAGTACGCGCAGTCGTCGTATATAGGCCTATGGACCACGCCCCATGCCCCTTGGCGGTGGCAGCACGGACGATCAATGCGCTCTCAGAAAGACGGATAAAAGAGGTCACTCAGCGGTGTCCAACCTCACGTGCGTATGCACTCGTGTAGGGAGGTAAGGGGGAAGACGAGCAGCCATTCAGATATCAAGAAATCAAATGCCGTAGCGGAATCATTTTTACATGATGGCGGCGGATCGAAAGAGTCACTCACTCGCGCGGTCATCCGCACCTTGCATTGTCAGTCGTATCCTTCTGGTACCCCCTCCTATCAGACCACACATTCTCGCCCCAGTCCTGCCTATTCGAGTAGGGAGGTTTACGCCAAGAACGCACCTGCCCTGACCACGCACGATTCCTGCTATCACCCGTCAACCATCGTTCGCTCCGTATGTAGACCCTCCCCGTATGCCATGCTCTCGAAGATGACTTGCCGCCACACGGATATTGTAAACTCTACGGCTTCCTCATCAAGGACCTTAGTAACAACGTTAGTTCAGCACAGACTCAGATGACATATCTCGCGCGTACGGGTTCCAGACCCTCTACGAGTTTGGCAGGGCTCTTGTGATCTTTGAGATGTTCAATGACGTACATCACAACGTCGTCGTCATCGAGCTCGCCAAGGTATTTGACCATTAACTTCTTGACAAGCGGCTCCAGCTTGCGATCAATCAATTGCTAGCGTATTCGAGCTCAACAAAGACGAAGGTCGGGAGTCAAGTGAGACGCACCTCAGTGACCGCATCCCACCTAACCTTAGACTTGAACAACGTATCTCGTTCCTTCGGCACCGACGCCCGTATATGCTCCAGGCGCTCCTTTGCTTTCCCGCTGTCGTTCGCCGCGCTGAAGTCGAGTAACTGGAGAGGAACCTTCCGTTTGCGCGTTGCCTCTTCTTCCTCTTCTTCAGCGCCAAACACGCCCGGCGCAGGTGCCTTGTCCTTCCCAGCACCTGCGTCCGCCTTGGGCGCACCCGGTGCGAGCGAGACATTAAGTCTGACAGGTGCGCCGTCGTCGAGGAGCATACCGGCCTTGCGTTGCTCCTCCGCGAGCGCCTGTAGTTCATCCATCTGCCGCGCAAGGAATGCCTCACTCTCTCGGCGCAGGTTCTCCGCCTCGCGTGCTTCATAGGTGCGCATCTCATTGTCAGCCGCCTCCTCGGCGGCGAGGCGCCGGGAACGCTGGGCTCGCCAGCGTACGCGGTCCGTGTAGAAGAGCTCGTCCGACTCATCGTCGTCCCAGATGTCGAGTCGCGCACGCATTTCTGTGCGGTCACGTTCTTCGGCTTCGCGTGTGGCGCGCTCACGAGCAATAGCGCGCTCAAGGGCTTGAAGGCGGTTGCGCTCACGGGGCTCGTACCGACGTTCTCGCTATATAAAAAAAAATGAAAGATGTCAAGAGATGGACATAGCAAGAAGTTCACGGCACTGCGTACGTCTCTGAACGAGTTCTCCTCATCGCGCCTCCTTGCCTCCTTTCGATCGTGTTCTAGCTCCTCGTCCGTCTTCGCGGTTTTGCCAGGTACCTGCCGCTCATCGTCGCGCTCCCGGCTTTCCGCTTTGACGAATCCGACTGGCTTTGAAAAACCCTGTTGAGGATCGCTCCCGAGCGCCGAGGGTTCGCGAGCATCGGCACTCCCTTGGGCCTTCCCCCACTCGCGGACTTTGGGGCCACTTGGGGAAGCTTGCGCGCTGAGGTTAGGCACGGCTGCACGAACATCGCGTAACTTTTCGCGCTCGCGCTTTGCTGCTCGCTCACGGAATTGTGCGATTTCTGAGATGACGAGTCCGCGTTGAGTTTCTGGGAGGTCGGCTTCCTGAAGATCGTGTAGGTGGGGTGGAATCACGTAGCGTTCTTTGTCCAACAGGCCGTTGTTAGCGGCTTCTTGGGAGATGCGGTTGATGTCATTGATGAGTTTAGATACGTGGATCTTGGCCGTTTGCAATGCTTCTTCATCCGCCTAATACAATTCCAAGAGGTCAGAGGGATAGATGACTGGGCAACATGAACACGCTGCAGCCCCTCCGTTGATATATGCGATTCTGGCAGGGGCACAGACGCATATATGCACCGGATGGGCCGCAACATGGGTTCGTCAGGTTAGAATCATAGTGACGACGCACGTTTGTTTGCATTCGTTGAGCTTGATAAGCATCGAGGAAGACCTTCGTTTTTTCGTCGGCTTTAACCTTTAGTGACGTATGGATATGAATGCTGAGGGGAAGATTGCATAAAGACGCACCAACAACTTTTTGTTCACACAGCCGTCCTCCAAGGCAGGTAGCTCAACATTATTTAAAAGAGCCATTGCTCGCAGCGCACCGTCCGGGTCCTCAAATTCGGCAAACCCAAAGCCTTGAGGTTTATTGGCGGGTGTGATCAACCGCTTGAACGACCTGACTTTTCCGCAGGCCTGCATCGTCCTTTGAGTGAGCCGAGAAGATACTATGGAAGAGAGTTCTTACACAAAGGAGGTCGTTCAGGAAATTGTCGGTGATGCCACCTGATATTGAGCCGATAAAAAGGGATATTTGTTTTTGAGCTTGTGGTGGGACAAAGCCCTGAACATGCATTTGCTGCTGCTGTGCAAGAGCCGACATTGAGGGGCCTTGCCCGTACGATGGCAGGGGAGGACGCAGACCAAGTCCTAGCCGATTGGGCTGCATAATTGCTGCTCTTGACTGACTGCTTGTGACCTACTGGTCGAGTTTTTAAACTGATAGAAATCCCTCGGAGGCAACGTTACCTGTTTTTAATAGGAACTATGCTAGCGTCGTTGTGGTGTGATGTGAGTTCAAGGTGTGAAGCTTGTGAAGAGCCAAAGCCTCAACGTCGTAAGCAGCTCATGCGCAACAGCCCGTCATACACCTGATACTTCCAAAATACTATGGCAATATGGCCGAGCGGTCTAAGGCGCTGGAATCAGGCTATTGCTAAATCCAGTCCGAAAGGGCGTGGGTTCGAATCCCACTGTTGTCAAACTTTTTGCCTGCACACGTTGTACTGGTGGTCCCCATGCCACTACTGTAGTACCACCCGACCACAACACCTCACAAGCCTCACACTGAGGCCTCACATGGACTTATAGCCCGTGTTCATCGCAACGTCACTTCGGCTTGAAGACAACCGCGCCTTAAAGCGACCCAAGAGCATCAACGCTGCCTACACTAGATTAGAACACTGTACTATTACAACTTACACCAGCAGTTGCGACTTTTTCTTTAGTTATGATCCGAAAGGTGCCAAGACAATCACCACGATCGCTTCTTGCAAAGAGAAAGTGAACTTGAAAAGAGGTTAGGCCCCTTTATTTATTCGTCACGGCCTTTGAAACCAGTCTTTTCTTCCAAAAAGTTATACTTTGCCTCACACAGCAAGATTAGATCTCACACTTTCAGAACCTCTGAGACAGGACCTCCCAGCTGCGCCCCAGATGAGCCGACGGTGCCTAGCATAAGATGAAGTGTTGATCACATAGTCACTTTCGAAAGGTAACTCCTGGGCTCTACGATACCCACTTCAGGGCCAGGTGCGCTGCGACAATACAGGTATGTGAGAAACAAACCGGGAAAGAGCGCCCTCTCAGATCTGCGGTCGCAATGACACCGCTTCCCTCGATGGGGGCTGTATAAATCAGCGCTACCGGCCTCACAACTTAATAACGGGGCATAATATGACCTTTGTCGTCTGGACGCTTGACAGTACTGGCCCCGAGGCGCCCTTGCACTGTCACACCGTACGCGCGGAACACGTCGAAGGTATCAAGAGGCTCGTCGCTCAAGGCGTCTTGAACTTGAATATGTGCTTTTTTCTATGGAAGTTTTCGGTTGCTCATTCCGCCAGTCCATCAACAGAATTGGGCTATACATATACAAAGTCGATTGCGTGTGAAAACGAAACATGAATGTCAGGACATAGTGGAGTAATTTTGACATTTACTCTCATCTATACGTTGATCGTTTGCTGCCCCATTGACAGTAGCGACGAAAATCCGGATTTTTGGCAAGGATTTTAGTTGGCATGGTGTGGCGAGTAATAATCCTCAACGTCGAGCCGAGGGAAGCGTACACGAATGTTATAAAACAAAAGAGATAAGGAAACATGAGACATGAAACGTACGCAGACAGACGGCCCGGAGAGCCAATACAGTTCCCGCATATTGAGGGTGGGAAAAACATACCTTTCCTGACTCTGGTGAAAATTCATGAAATTTGGATCCCACCAAGTCAACGAAACGGCGACATGAGTCTTCACCTCCCCGCTACCTCACTTGACGTCGAAGCCGGATCAGAATCGGGGAGCGAGTCAGATGAAAACAATGTCGAGGAAGCTTGGAGCGACTGGGTCTCAGACTCCGCAAATGCGACCCAATGCAAGTCTTTATTCGAAGACAAGCTTCTTGCGTCAGCAACCGAGACATTAGATTACGACAAGAGAACTCACGGATTCGACCTGAACTCCTTTTGCGAAGAGAAAGGTTCTTGGATGTTCTTCGACCGCTTTCGTGAAAACCCCTAACGACGAGTGTTTACGACAGCGCTAGACTTCCATGCTCGTGTCCGCCTCATAAACTACATTAGGAAGGAGGTATGGGCGTCATCTCGTTGCTTTCATAAGGATTCACGATGACATCTAGAAACCTTCGGCTGCGAGCCTGCAAAAACTCAACGGGAAGGAGCCGTTCTTCTTATCCGATGATTATTTGCTGCCTGTGATAGAAGACGACCCTCTCCTTTGTGAGTCCTGTGCAGGCAAATATTATCCCCGTTGATTTTGTGCCAGTAAACTCTCTGGATAGCTGGTCCGATAGTGAGGACGGCTCCAAGGTCTTGGCCCCTTCTGACCTCATTTCTGCCACGAGAAGAATTGCCGCACTGGAAAAAAAGTTAGCCGCGGCAAAGGAGGATCTGGCCGAATATCGGTCGATGGTTAACCAGCGTGCGGATATAGCCCTCATTAGAGAGGCGATTGATGCCCCTGGCGAGCCTGTCGCAAGCTCAAGTAAACGCGACGACGACTCACATTATTTTGACAGCTATGGAGAAAATGGTAGGACCATCTGAGTCCCATCACCTACCATCTGAGAGTTGCTTCTCTCTTCTCAGACGTTCACGCGGTCATGATTCAAGACAGAGTTCGAACGTCTTCTTACGCTTCGTTTATCATGACAAGTGCCGCCCTCTTCCAAGATGCGATCGTTTTGGATGTTGGATGTGGAACAGGAATTCTATCTCTCTTTGCTGCTCGTGCCGGTGCAAAACGTGTAATCGCTGTCGATGCCAGTGACATCGCACTCAAAGCCAGGAGACTGATCGAAGCCAATGGTTACGGAGATGTTATAACGTGTGTCAGCCTTTCCATTGTTTTTCCGATCTTACCCGCGTAGTGTAATCCAGGACAAGGTGGAACATATGTCTCTTCCAGATGACCTCGCGCACGTCGATGTGATCGTATCCGAATGGATGGGATATGCTTTGCTCTACGAGTCGATGCTGGACTCTGTACTCTCTGCCCGAGATCGCTTCCTCAAACCTGGTGGGGTTATGGCTCCGAGCCAATGTAGAATGATGCTCTGTCTGAGCGAGGCAAGTGGGATCTATAAGGAAAGAGTTGGCTTTTGGAACGACATATATGGTACGTCAGTCACACATAATTAGGCGTCGCTCATATCATCACAGGTTTTGATCTGTCGGTGATGAGCGAAGACGTTTTCAACGACGCCGTTATGGATATTGTGGGATCCGAAACGGTGATGAGCGAACCGTATATGTTAAAGGTGGGTTTACAAACATGCACTTTGTCACGCGCTCATGCACTTACAGGATATCTATCTTGGGGATGTCACGACAAAACGGCTGGAGTTCATTTCACCTTTTACGCTCGTCTCAACTGCTGCGCGACGTACTAAAATCCATGCGCTCGTGCTTTACTTCGACACCTTTTTCGAACCTACTGGGTCTCCGATCCCATCAGATACGGCTGTTCACGTGACTCGAGATGGAAGCGAACTCGCGGAGGTTTGGCCTGTCGGTCGCAGACACAGCGTACACCGGCGACAGAGCGTAAAAGGCCGGCAGGGGATAATAAGTTTCAGCACAGGACCTCGCAGTGCGCCCACACATTGGAAACATACGATTTTCTTGCTGCGTGAGCCGATCATCGTCACCGAAGGTACTGAAAAGTCCTACTTGCAAGCTACGTGTGCTTATAATCCATGCCGCTAGGAACCATCGTGACAGGAATGTTTCACTGCCGAAAGAGCACGACGAACTCGAGAGAGCTGGACGTTGAAATCCACTACGCAGTCAAAGCGGGCGCCAACTCGGAGGCAGGGAGTGAAACACCTGCGGATGTAGTTGTGCAGATTTATAAGGTACGATAGTATGAGGAGTTGTAGGATGTGGTCCGTGGTTATACGGCACTGGTGTGAAAATGGCGTTCCAGCTTGCGCGGTTCTGGGGTGTGCATATGTAATCATCGTCTCGTGCACGCAAAGCACTGTAACAGAATTTCCGCATTTCAGTCATTGTTGTGCGCTATACCCGTAGCTCTGCGTATTCTGAACAATGCCTGCGCAGAGGGGGCGGGGGCGGGACGCAGGGTAAGTAATCTGTCATCAACTCTTTGTCATGTAGTCTTTTCCCCTCTTTCCTTTCATCACATCACAGCCTCATGACGCATAATATTTCATTTTCAGCTTCTTTTTACCACCCAAGAACCCGAGTTTAGTTATGGATGTCCGAGTCGGAGTATCTCCCTCATAGACGAGTTCCTGCTAGCGCCAAATGAAAAGGCTTCGGCACCGCACATGTCATATAAAGGCATAATTCCAAAGCCTTGGGCCTGCCACTGGCAAAATGGAAACAACTACGGAGCCTGCGGTTTGAGATCTTTTCAGGTAGTCCTGAACGGAATACGCACGAGTTCAGAACATTCAGATGTCAAGGTCACCAACTATGGCACACTCAGTAGGGGTATGGTTCCATACACCAATGCCTCTGGACACATGCTAAAGGTCGCCGGCGTGATCTGCGGATCTTTCCTGTGAATGATTGGCGCGCTCACGCCACCAACATATCCATGCGATTTCCCAACGCTTCTATCACTGTAGATATCTCCATCTGGGATATGGAAATCCTCTCAGCCATTAGAAGGACGAAATGACTCCAAATACCGTCCCTCTCCCTCCCACTCTCGACATCCTCGGTGAAAGATGGGCACATATGACCCGTGACTTCAGTCGCTCCCATGTGTCTACCAATACGCATCTGTCTTCCTTTGGTCCCAAAAAGTAGGACAGGACTAAGCGACCGCCACCGCAGAAGGATTACGCCGTTGCATCCTCCACGCTGCAGAGTAGGTACGGCCAACCCCACGCCATCACGTCCACCTCGCTTCTGCTTCCCTCGAGGAAATCGGCTACGACAAATAATATTTACTAACTCCCGCCAACCCTGCTTTTCACGCCGTCCTCATCTGCAATGCCCAGGTACCAGTGGTAGCCCTTCCTACGAAACAATTGAGGGGAGAGAAGGCAAAGACTCACCCCTCAACTTTGCCATTGCTTCGGGATAGATACTGTTTCTCAGTCTGTGGATCGCTTGTGCCGCCCTTCCTCTTGGAGGGAAGGGGGATAAGAAATTAGGGAGGCTGATGCTGCTGTGGCATGTGGCATCGCAGGATTCGCAGCCTATCAATTAAGCGAGGATGTCCTACCTGAACTACAGTAACGAAGCGGTAAGTTCTACAAAAATGTATGACTCTGGCACTGCTGCTGGTAGCGCTGGTTATTGTTGAACTCGCTAGGAAAAACATCCTACCCACATTAATATGACAACTTTCTACGTCGCAGCTAAGTCTAAATTTCCCTGCGCCAGATATTTGGGCATTTGAGTGGAGCATCTGATTATCCTCCTTCCCCATTCCACATGATGTACTCTTTTCCCTAACAAGAAACGTTGTGTGATGCTTCTTACCGT